GATATGAAGTCAGTGTAATGTTTAATTGGTAAGTCAACTTTGAAACTACATAAAAGCCAAATTATATGATACAATAAGACAGAAGTCAAATAAGATAAATCCCTAATCTGCAAAATTGTATAACATTCAGAAATGGATCAAATTTTCAAAAAATATTTCTTCTGACTTGACAAGTGTGACTTCCTTTTCCCTCTACAAAATCCATCCCTTGCATTATCTATTAAGCATCAAACTATAAACTGAAAAAAAATCAGCATGGCGTTTGCAGAAATAAGTTTTGAACACTAACAGCATAACAATTTTTATTAATGGGTTATATAATCAATCCAAAAATAAAAAACAATGTTCATGCTCTTAGACCTTTACTTTTTGTAGGTTTTTTCTCGTTCTAGAGAAATATATTAAAAAATTAAATGCCTGAACGTGTTTTAGTTTTCCTTGTTAAATGGATTAAATGCAATTTGGAGTGCAAAGAAAAAAAATCCCAAACCAAATACATTCCTTATAGCTATAGAGGGTTAATTTTTAAGGGTTAAAATTAAATATGTTAAGATGTAACCTTCTGAAAACTCAGACTTCTCTACAGACTTGCTGACAATAGCTGATTATGAAGCCATTTTTCATACTTTCAATTTATAATTTAGCAGAACATATTTGACTCTGGCTTACTTTGTTTTTCTTGATACAGATATTGATAAAGTTCCTATATATTAACAACTTTTCATAAAATAAATCATCACATCTGAATTTTGCTTATAAAGAAGAAAGGAGATTTCTACAAATTTGAAGACAGCTGTTTAACCATAGGGCTGAATAAAAGTAGATAGAGGACCAGTCCCTTTTAGAGTAGCCAACGTTGCATTCTTTTTCATCCTAAAGTCTCGCTGCAATCAACTGGAAGTTTGGAGTCTAGAATGAAAAAGTAAGCTTCCTCTATCCAACCCTCTTTATTTTTAAAGAGGCTGCCATATATTAATTTTAAAATGACTTTTAAAAAGTATCAGCTACTGAAATACAGCCTGGATCGTTTACAGAAAACAACCTGCTAATCCAATTAAAGAAGAAATAATATAGAATAAGGCAGGTCTACAAAAAAGAGATAAAGAAAGATGTGGAAGTAAATTAATGTAGAAACATATACAATTTTAACATAAGCCTTTGCCAACAATAAAATTACTTTAATTGCATTCTGAATGCATGTGTATAAACTTTAAACTCACTGTGAAAGAGAAAATGGCACACTTCCAATGTTTTTGTGTCTGCCCAGAATCCCATGACCTTACATAATGCCTCTTCCACACCCCCCTCCACCATCAGTTATAAAATGTGTTACAGTGGCAAACTTTGCAAACGATTAGTACTATAGTAGTGTAAACAACATGCACAACAGGCAGTCCCAGCCTACCATCCACTTTTGGATACGTCCCCATTTTCTATCATATGAGCGATGAGAAAGCTAAAAAATGTTTTAAAACATTATGACGCAGAACAAACATTACAGAGATTACATTATCTTGTACAATTTAAAATTCAGTCATATATAATTGTCTATAGGATATGAGAGCTGTAAATTTATTGTAGGTAACAATTAGAATAATTAAAGGCAAATACAAAAAAGAGAACAAAAATTGCAAGGCCAACAGTCTGCTTCCAAAAGAAAGTGGTTAGGTCAATCTAAATCTTTGAGCAGTTTTACTTTTAAGTAACTGATTTACTGAATTTGTTAAAGTTATATTATACAAAATTACTATTTATTACAAAAATATTCTATCAACTGAAGACACATGCCAAGTTGGAAAATAAATTTTAAAAAGGTATTTTTGGAGTCACAGGATAAGCAAAAGGAATAGCTGGTCCCCTTTTACTTCAGTATCTTTATTACCCATGAAGTTTAAAATAAATATTTTAATATACCCGAGTACATGCCATGCTAGCCACGCAAATGCCGAACAGGAATGAAATAAGTTACTCATTTGAATTTCAGCTCTAGACTGGAAAAAGCTATAGTAATGGCTGTCCTATGCAGGAAATGCTGACATATGGCTATACTATACTAGGGATGTTAGATATCAGGTAACTGAACAGTCGAGTAACTGGTAAGAATTCATGTAGTTACTCGACTATTTTAGTCCCCGGGAGCAGGGCCAGCAGCCAGTGTGTTCCGGCCCTACTCCTGGGAAGCCTCTTTCGACTGCACGCTGCTGCCTCTGTATCAGAGGCAGCAGCGCGGGGTGCCAGGCGGGAACCAGTCCACAAGAAGAGCCAGTTTTGAAACCAGCTCCCCGTTCAGACTGGCTGCCTACTATCCTGTGCTGCTGCCTCTGATAGAGGCAGCAGCACGGGGTGGCAGCAGCCCCTGTCCGCAGGAGGTCTGAGCTCTGTCTGCAGAGAGCCTGGGCTGCTGCTGGGAATGAGCCTGACTGTGGGAGGTGGAACAGCCTCTGTCCACTGGGAGCTCGGGCCTGCTGTGGACAGAGGCTGCCAAGTCAGGTTTACTGTCAAACAAAGTACATTAATAGCTGTTGGTAGACAGATGGCCTCCGAGCCACTACATATTTGAACCCAAGACAATGGACATGGCTCAGTTGATAATATGGATTTCACTACTGGCCCTTAGATCAGCCAAAGAATTAAGTCGAGGTACATCAATATTTATAGACAGAAATGAACTATCTATGATACACACTGTACATATCATCTTATGCATTAATGACATGTTTGGTATCTCCCCTTGTACTTTCCCCCAAAGCATTCACTACTCATTGTTATGCTTTCACTTTTATTGTTTCCAACTATTTTATTACATACCTAGCTGGGTGTCCCTGTACTGTCCTGAAAGAATGTATTTACATACTTCATGTGCTTTTATTAGTGCTAACAGTTCTAGTACCGTGAGATACTGACTTGCAGGCAAACACCTGCTTTTGACAAGGCTTGTATATTACTCACAGTATAACTCTTGGTTACTTTGGTTCAAGCACCAGGCCCATGCTTCCCGCTCTTTCTTTCTCCTACAGTATGAAATAATATAGAAAAATCTACATTACCTCTTTCTGTTGTCGCTCCAATTCTCTCATACGTATCTCTCTTGCTTCTGCTCGAGCAGCCCGTTTGGCTGCAAGCCTTGCTTCTGCCTATAAGTTGATCGAAAGTAATAAAGGTTAAGCATTTTTTTAACCACTTTGCTTTGTGAAATTTGTAAGAATATTTGATTTAATCGTTTCTCCACAAAAACAGACCTTGATTTTCATTAACTGTTCATATGAAAAAAATCAGTTTGATAGAAAGTAGTAGTTGTAAAGAACAAACAAAAAAAATCACAAAAATGAGTATATATTAGAATTGTTAAAAATATCACTGCCAGACAACAAGAATTGCAATGGAAAGCAAGTGTTAATCAAGTCTAAGCCTACAAATACTAATACATTTTAATTTTACATACAAACAGTTCCATTGACTTCGCTAAGACTGTTCAGGTGTGTAACTTTAAGCACAAATAAGTTTGCAGTACCAGAGGCCCAAGATAGAAAATTTTTAAGTTAAAACATAAGCAATAACCAACACAATTAAAAGACCATGCAACAAATGCATACCGTAGACCAATGTCTAAATCTTATCTGGAAGGATTTATAAACACGTTTAATATTTAGGAGGGAAATTACTAAAACCCAACACTTATTGGAAAATGCAAAAATTCTTGCAAGAAAAATGCACAAGATGCTCAAATTTTCTTTATTTTATTCTGTACCCACAACATGGTTTAATATATAGCTCATTACTTATTAGGAGTTACAAAATAGGTAATTAATTACATTGGACCACTAATGATATAGCTGGATGTTCTAGTAACGAAAAATTAAGTTCCTTTATATCACAAGATTTAGCATTTAACAAATAACTGATGGCTGAACAACAAAAGCTATCATTCATTCATTCAAGGAATGGAATTAGGTAAATACAAAATTATTCAAATGAAATTAAAATGTGGTTAACATTTCATTCCAACTCCAATTTTACTATGTCTCCAAATTCTCACCGCTCCTACACCACTTACCATTAAGCTTGATGTTTTATACATACATTTTAGTCAAGAGTAAATGTATAATTAACAATTTATACAAGTTAGGGGTTCAAAATATAACTTTTGAGAATACTGATGTGAGAAAAATGGTGCATTCTAAACACATTAAAATTATTTATAAAGGAAACACAAAGAGAGAATGTTGCTGAGTGCTGCTATCTGAGTAGGGTGGGGTTAGTTTTACGAAATGGAAGTTTAAGTGACCTTTACTCCACATGGGTTTAGATGTACAAAGTTCTTTGTTCTCAGTGGTATTCATCAAATTACCCATCAACTTTCCCCATGCCCTCAAATTCAAATTCTCTTTTAGGTTGGCGACTGAAATTTACCACAAATCAAGCGATAATACTACAACCCAACACATCTATTACTGAAGCAAGTAGTTTGAAAGTTATAAACACCAGATAAACTATCCGTGCAACTTATTTTCAGAGACTCTTAATTCTGAAAATCTGTTTTGCAAGTTCGTAACTGGTTCTTCAAAACAACTGCCTATATGGAAACCAATTTTTAATAGACATTAAATTCCTCTATTGGCTGTACTCTGATCCAAAATCTCAGGCATGAACATAAAGTTTGCAGAAAGCCAGGAAGTAACTCTAAGGCGGGGTAGACAAACAGGGTTACCAGGTAGACCCCCTCCAAAATACCGGACACACTTGGAAGGGGCGGGGCCGGCCGGGAGATAGGGGGGCGGAAGAGTCAGGGGCCGTGGCGCAGGGCTGGCCGGGAGGAAAGGGGGTGGGTGGGAAGCAGAGCTGGGGAGGGTCAGGGCCCGGGGGGGCTGGGCGGGAGGAGGGGGAGCCAGAGGAAGGGGCGCGGGAAACAGAGCTGGGGGGG